TGCTGGCGTCAGGGTCCATGTTGTGGACAAATACCAAGGGGAAGAGAATGACATCATCCTCCTTTCACTAGTTCGAAGCAACCAAGAAGGCAAGGTGGGTTTTCTGCAGATATCCAACCGCATCTGTGTGGCCTTGTCCCGAGCCAAGAAGGGAATGTACTGCATTGGAAACATGCAAATGCTGGCCAAGGTGCCCCTGTGGAGCAAGATCATTCATACACTTCGAGAGAACAATCAAATAGGCCCCATGCTCCGGCTCTGCTGCCAGAACCACCCTGATACCCACACCTTAGTATCCAAAGCTTCTGACTTCCAAAAAGTACCTGAAGGAGGCTGCAGCCTGCCCTGTGAGTTCCGGCTGGGCTGTGGGCACGTCTGCACCCGTGCCTGCCACCCTTATGACTCTTCACACAAGGAGTTCCAGTGCATGAAGCCATGCCAGAAGGTTATCTGCCAGGATGGGCACCGGTGTCCCCTTGTTTGCTTCCAGGAGTGTCAGCCTTGTCAGGTGAAGGTGCCCAAAACCATTCCTCGATGCGGCCATGAACAAATGGTCCCTTGTTCTGTGCCTGAGTCAGATTTCTGCTGCCAAGAGCCTTGCCCCAAGTTTCTGAGATGTGGGCACAGATGCAACCACCCATGTGGTGAGGACTGTGTGCAGCTGTGTTCAGAAATGGTCACTGTAAAACTTAAGTGTGGGCATAGCCAACAGGTAAAATGTGGTTATGTGAAAGACCTCATGCATGGTCTGCCAGTCGCCACCAAGTGCACCACCAAGTGTGGCACTATCTTGGACTGCGGGCATCCTTGCCCAGGCTCCTGCCACAGCTGCTTCGAAGGGCGTTTCCATGAACGCTGTCAGCAGCCCTGCAAGCGCCTGCTTATTTGCTCACACAAGTGCCAGGAACCGTGCATCGGCGAGTGCCCACCCTGCCAACGGACTTGTCAGAACCGCTGTATCCATAGCCAGTGCAAGAAGAAATGTGGGGAGCTGTGCAGCCCCTGTGTGGAACCCTGTGTCTGGCGCTGCCAGCACTACCAGTGCACTAAACTCTGCTTTGAGCCCTGCAACCGACCCCCGTGCTGTGTGCCTTGTACTAAGCTGCTAGCTTGTGGCCACCCCTGCATTGGTCTCTGTGGGGAGCCATGCCCCAATAAATGCCGGATCTGCCACATGGATGAGGTCACCCAAATATTCTTTGGGTTTGAGGATGAGCCTGATGCCCGCTTTGTGCAGCTGGAAGACTGCAGCCACATCTTCGAGGTGCAAGCTCTAGACCGCTACATGAATGAACAAAAGAATGATGAAGTCGCCATCAAGTTGAAAGTCTGCCCTATCTGCCAGGTGCCCATCCGCAAAAACCTGAGGTATGGAACTAGCATAAAACAGCGGCTAGAAGAGATTGAAATCATCAAAGAAAAGATCCAGGGCTCAGCAGGGGAGATAGCAACCAGCCAGGAACGGCTGAAGGCCCTGCTGGAGAGGAAGAGCCTCCTCCACCAGCTGCTTCCTAAAGACTTCCTGACGATAAAGGAGAAGCTAGCCCAGAAAAATCTGTCGGTGAAGGACCTGGTTCTGGTTGAGAATTACATCAGCTTCTATGACCACCTGGCCAGCCTGTGGGATTCCCTGAAAAAGATGGATGTCTTAGAACAGAAAAGAGTGAGGACTCGACTAGAGCAGGTCCATGAGTGGCTGGCCAAGAAGCGCTTGAGCTTCACTAGCCAGGAACTAAGTGACCTCCGAAGTGAAATCCAGAGACTCACATACCTGGTGAACCTTCTAACCCGCTACAAGATAACAGGGAAGAAGGTGAAAGATAGCATAGCAGTAGAGGTCTATAGTGTCCAGAATATCCTTGAGAAAACATGTAAGTTCACCCAAGAGGATGAACAACTTGTGCGGGAGAAGATGGAAGCTCTGAAAGCCACTCTCCCCTGCTCTGGCCTGGGCATCTCAGAGGAAGAGCGAGTGCAGATTGTCAGTGCCATAGGTTATCCTCGCGGTCACTGGTTCAAGTGCCGCAATGGCCATATCTATGTGATTGGCGATTGTGGGGGAGCCATGGAGAGGGGCACGTGTCCTGACTGTAAGGAAGTGATTGGTGGCACAAATCACGCTCTGGAAAGAAGCAACCAGCTTGCTTCTGAAATGGATGGAGCCCAACACGCTGCCTGGTCTGACACAGCCAACAACCTGATGAACTTTGAGGAGATCCAGAGGATGATGTAGGAAGACGGTACACCGCTGCCTTTTGCCCTGGCCACTGAATGACTGGGGCCAACTCCCTTATGAAGGAACCGAAGTTTGTTTTTTATTATCATCCTTTCTAGTCTTTGCACCTATTTAAGGATCCACTTTTAGGGCTTGCCCGCATTTGTTTCTAGATTTACCCGTGCGCTAGAGTAAGCACTTTATCTCCAGAACAAAGAGCAAAGATCTCACCTCTTTTTCTCTCCTGCAGATTAGTGAACATACTCCCTCAAACATGTTTGGGGCTTCCACCTAGGGCCAGCCACCTAGTGCTATCTCTGGCTCTTTACTTGGTCAGATGTGTCTTCTACAGTGTTCCCCAGGAACAAAGTATGAGCTCATTGACACTGACCGATTCTAATTGCCAGGCCCTAATTTGCAGACTAACTCTTATTATAATAAACAGAAACCCAGAGTTGCTTATGACTGCTTATCCCTTAAAGGAGCACAAGAACCCCTCTTGCCCTCCTTGGGCACCCTGTCTGTAGGAAATGGAGGCATGTGATAAGACGAAGACTTCAACTCACCCCGACCCAGTTACATAGTCACTGAGAGTGGGGAAGATGTGACAGCCCACATCTGAGGGCTTATGCAGCAGGCCCAGGTCATTTCCTGTAACCTGCACTTTGGCATGATGGAAGTTTCTTACCTGTTCTCTGACAGGTTTGGTAGCACTGCTGGTTACCCCTAGGCCCTGAATGGGGCTAAACTCATATTCAGTACCAGCAGCATTTATCCCAAGTGTGATCCTTCATCCCAGTACTCCCTCTTGCAGCTTTTGCCTGGGTAGGGCTAGCATGCCAGCAGCCTCTGCAGGCTCCAAACCCAGGCCAGAAGCCAGACCCAGGCCTGCTGCCTGCATCTGCATCCCCTCAGTCCAGTGTTCCTTAGAACAGACATTTAGGTATCTCAGGTCCTTTCTAAGTGTCCCTTTCCTATGTATGCATTTCCTTTTTTTGTCTTTACTATGCACTTTAGCTTATAAAACCAATTAAAACGATGATTGAGAAAATCAATGGTCCACGTGTATCCTCAACTTGAAGAAGCACCTCAGATGGCCAAAGACAGTGAAGATGGGGACAGAGCAGGCATAGTCCACAGTGAAGCTGTGATTTTGTTTTTGTGATACAGGATTTTTATTTAGCTGGTGAATGAATCATTTTTACCCACGGTAAAAAAACATTTCTTCAACCTGTACAAAGGGCTATACTTAAAGTTTCCTTCTCCAGAAGCAAACCCTGTTCATTTCCTTAGTCCTCCCAGAGATAATTTATGCACATGCAATACATATCCCTTGGGGCCGGGCACAGTGGCTCTCACATCTGTAATCCCAGCACTTTGGGAGGCTGCAGTGGGCAGCCTGGGCACCATGGCAAAACCCCATCTCCACAAAAAAATACAAAAATTAGCCCCAGGTGTGGTTGCTCACACCTATAGCCCTAGCTACTCCAAAGGCTGAGGTGGGAGGATCACCTGAGCCTGGGGAGGTTGAGGTTATAGTGAGCAGTGATCAAGGCACTGCTCTCCAGCCTGAGCAAGAGTGAGACCCTGCTTCAAAATAAAAAGTACACAGTTCCATACTTGGCTTTTTTAGCCAAATGACCTTTCTGTAAAACATATTAAGACAGTAAGTCTGAACTGGACTCCATCATCACACAGTTGTGCCATCATTTTCTGAATTGGACCCTCTGTTGGCGACTTAACGTGCACCCTGAATGAATAGCTTTGAACACACTCTTTAGGGTATGTGCTACTGGATAACTTACCATTTTTAAGCTGGGGGTGGGGCAGTAAGTACTCCCTGAAATTGTAACGAACTATACACACTTTTCCCAGGTGGGCCCCACAGCCTTCATCTTATTCTGAGTCAGTAAAGGAGGAGAACCAACATTCTACCAGGCATGGTGGCTCATGCCTATAATCCCAGCACTTTGGGAGGCCAAGGTGGGTGGATCACCTGAGGTCAGGAGTTCAAGGCCAACATGGTGAAATCATGTTTCTACTAAAAATACAATAATTAGCCAGGTGTGGTAGCAGGTGCCTGTAACCACAGCTATTTGGGAGGCTGAGGCAGGAGAATCACTTGAACCTGGGAGGCAGAGGTTGCAGTGAGCCGAGACTGCATCTTTGCACTCCAGCCTGGGCACAAGGGACTCTGGTTTTTGCAGCAAGTAACTAACTGACGAAGTCAAGGCTCCTTCTGTCCTTTTGGGGCTTCTGTTTCTCCAGCAGCATTTCCACAGTAGAGCAGTAAGAGGTGGGGTGTGGGTTCAAGTAGATGTTAGTTGAAAACCTGAATTCCCAGCTGTGCAACTCTGGAAAGTCAGTCTTTCTAAGCCTCTGTTTCTTTATTGGAAAAATGGGGATATCACTGCCTGCCTCACAGGAGTGCAGTGAGTTGACTGGATTCTATTCAGCATACAAAATACCTGGTGCATGGTTGGCATTCATGCTAAAGTCCTCTTCTTGATGTTTTAGAACTAAGAGCTATCATTTAGCTAACTTCTTGAGCTATCATTTAGCTCTTAGTTCTAGAATATCAACAGAAGATAACTTTTCTTAAGAAACAGGAGAGACAGGGTCTCACTATATTCCCCAGGCCAGAAGACAACTAACAAGAGTTTCCTCACTCCATACCCAGTTCCTCTACAGGCATAAAGATTCTGCATTCCAACTGTATGTGGCAGTACCAACCTAGTAGACTGTGGGCACATGAAGAGATAGTAATAAGATATACACTCAGATGGGTTTCTCTTCCTCCCCAAAAATACCTCCATTGAGTATGGTCATTATATGAAAGCTAATCAGCAAGAAGGGAGATTGACAGACATGCTTAGGAAAACAGCTACATACCACCACCACCCAAAGTTTTTTTTTTAATACACAAATGACAGGCTTAATTTTTTTTTTTTAAACACGTGGAGAAAAGACAGACCAGCCAGGATAACTTCCCACAGGGAAGGGATTTAAGGACTGCCCCCATGAATTTCTTCAGGTCACAACAGCTACTTCCTCCGCTTGTATCTATAAGAAAATCAGAGAGTTAAGACCAGAATGAGGATGGAGAAGCTCCTTTTCCATGAAAGGTTTTTATCTCTAATCCCAAACAGCCATAACCTGTGGCCCTCCAAAACAGCCAGCATCACCTGGATTTAGATTTAAAGTTTCCTCCTCGTCTCTGGTGGGGCAAGCCCAACTGTTTCCTTTCTTCAAAGGAAGGGCTGTGAAAAAGAAGATGAGATGCTGAAATGAGCAAGCTGTTGAACAAATCAGTGTTGTCTCACCCCCACCCTACCCAGCTCCTACATGAAGCAGTGGCATCTCTGGGATGCATCATTTTCAGGGCCCAAGTTCTAAGCTTTTATGTGTTTCCACCTGACAACATATGTTTTTGGAATTCAGGGCCCAACTTTAAAACGAGGTTGGAAGAGGCCCTTCTTATGTATATACAACCTCTTGGGAAGCTTAGTCTGCCCCTACCCCAACCCTGGGCTGGGGAAAGTGGCGTGGGACAACATATTCCTGAGAGCAAGCCAGGATTCTCTGTTTGCGGTTCTGTAGGATGGAACTTGAGATGAAAGTTATCACTCCCCTGAAGGAAAGCTCCATTTCTGAACCCAACAATGTACTATTTCACCTCAAAGGCAGGAACAGTGATAGCTTAACACCCCTCTCCTGTTCTCACCTTGGGATCCTCAGGTGGCCTTGAGAGGGGTGGGTGGTGGAGAACAGACAGGTACCCTTGAATTTACATATTATAAAGCTATAGGTATGTGAGAACTGGGAATAGAGAAGGAGGGAGAAGACTCATAGCTTCCATTAGAATACCAGGGGCTCCTGGATGACTTGAAATCCTACCCAGCTCGATACTGTTTCAGGGCCTTCTTGCTTGTGTTGGTGAGTTCTTCATCAAATACAGATTTCTGCCTCTGCTTTTGCTTCTTGGCTGTGCACAAAGACAAGGGGTTAGATATTCTCTTTGGCCCAAGCTCCTAAATCCCCTTAAGTTCAGGGTAATGATTCCAAGTTCAGTGGATGCTCTGGCATCCAAAGACTATCTTCATTCTATCCTTAACAGCTTCTCCAAGTAGCAGCTGGTAAGGACTTAGGCTCCAGAGTCAGAAAAGCTGGTATTCAAATCCTAGTCCTCACCACCCACAGGGTCACTACACTTCTTTGACCAATGAAGGGATAGCTGTACACTATCCCTTGGGTAATTACTACCTTTGGGTAATTCGTACATACTAATTACTCAAATAATGTGGGCTGTTGTCATCATCCCTCAAATTTTCTCCCTGACCCAAAGCACAGATTTCAGGGAAAATCTCCCTACAAGCTCCTTTGGGCTCCCCATCCACCTACCAGGGCCTCTCACTGGCTCATCCTCGGGCATTGCTCGGGCCCGCTTGGCTCTGCGATTCCTCTTGGCTACCCGTTCAGCAAACATCTGCGCCTTGAGGATTTCAAACTGGGACCTTTCCTCTGCCTGGGGGAAATGGGGAGGGGTGAGTGTGGAACACAGCAGGCTACTCTGACCCACCCCACTGAGTGGACCCAAACTCCAAAAGGGAGGCCACTCACTGTCATCTCCCCCTTTTTTTTGGCATCCTTCATAAACTTCTTCCTTTTCTTCTTTCCTCTTAAGGCCAAGTCAAATTCCTGCAGAGCTTTGGCAACTGGGATGAGAAGAAAACATAAGATTTCAGGGATGATTTTATCTTTTTTTAAGCTTACAATAAGTGCTCATATTTTAAATTGGTACATAACAGCTTAAAATAAAAAGCAACAAGCACTTCTTGGCCAGGCAAGCTGGCTCAGGTCTGTAATTCCAGCACTTTGGGAGGCCAAGGAGGGTGGATCACCTGAGGTCAGGAGTTCAGGACCAGCCTGGCCTGAAACCCTGTCTCTACTAAAAATACAAAAATTAGCCAGGCGTAGTCGTGCACCTGTAACCCCAGCTACTTGGGAGGCTGAAATGGGAGACTTGCTTGAACCTGGGAGGCGGAGACTACAATGAGCTGAGATCACGCTACTGTACTCCAGCCTGGGCAACAGAGTGAGTGAGACCCCATCTCAAAAAAAAGAAAAGCAGCAAACACTTCTTCCACTGATTACCTCCATCTCACTAAATAACATGCGTTTTTGACTATTTTTCAATTAATCCATTTAAGATACTCATTAAAAACCTGCTGCTATGTAAGATGAAGATTTAGGTCACTTATACTACTTTACCCACCAATACAGTTATAACTCTATTTCTATCAGAAATTTAACATATATACACCCTTATTTTGTCCCATCAAATATAAATAGTATTTCTAAAACTGCTGGTATACCTTCTAGGAGGGTAATTTTGCAACCTCTAACAAAACTAGAAATACAAATACACTCTAACCCACTATTCCACTTTTAGGAATGAATCCTGCAAGCCAAATATATACTTGCTTAATTGTAAAAGGGCATATGTACAAGGTTATTCACTACATGCCTTGTTTGTAATGATTGTTTTTTGGTGGTTTTTTATTTGTTGGTTTGTTTGGAGACAGGGGTCTCACTGCTGCCCAGACTACTATAGTGCAGTGGCAGAATCTCAGCTCACTGCAACCTTGACCTCCCCAGGCTCAGGTGATCCTCCTACCTCAGCCTCTCAAGTAGTTGGACTATAGGCATGTGCCACCACATTCGGCTAATTTTTCGATTTTTAGTAGAGACAGGGTTTCATGATGTTGCCCAGGCTGGATGGCACCACAACTGTAAACAACCTCAATATCCCTCAACAGGGTATAAGTTAAATAAATGATGATCGGCTGGGCGCTGTGGCTCACACCTGTAATCCGAGCACTTTGAGAGGCAAAGGCAGGCGGATCAAGGTCAGGAGATCGAGACCATCCTGGCTAACACGGTGAAACCCTGTCTCTACTAAAAATACAAAAAATTACCTGGGCATGGTGGCACGCACCTGTAGTCCCAGCCAGTTGGGAGGCTGAGGCAGGAGAATTGCTTGAACCTGGGATGCAGAGGATGCAGTAAGCCGAGATCACGCCACTGCACTCCAGCCTGGGCGACAGAGCAAGACTCCATCTCAAAAAAAAAATCAACTCATATGATGGAGGAATATGAAGCCATTAAAAAAATTAAAAGGGCAGCCATATATGGGCCTATATAAAACATATCTTCAAAATTAAGTGAAAAAGTCAAGGCACAGAATAATGTGAACTAATAAGTGTTTTGGGTCTTTTTTAAAGAGAGATGGAGAGGAAATCTATATTAAGTATTTCCTAACCTTTAAGAAAAACGTTTTACTATAGTTATATATATATATATATATATATATACACAAACACACACATAACAAAATTTGCCATTTATTTTACCCAATCCTAAGTATACAATTCAGTGGCATTACTTAAATTCACAACACTGTACAACAATCACCACTATGTTTCCAAAACTCCTAACAAGGAGGCTACTCACCGTCATCATCCCAAACAGAAGCTCTGCAGCCACTAATAACTTCTTCCCCTGCTTCGCCTGGCCCTAAGTAATCTGTAATCTCCTTCTGTCTCTGTGGAATCTGCCCAGCAAGGTATCTCACGTAAGTGGAATCCAACAATATCTGTCCCCTTTGAGTCTGGATTATTTCACTTAGCTTAATATTTTTTTTTTTTTTTTTTTTTTTTTTTGAGACGGAGTTTCACTCATGTTACCCAGGCTGGAGTGCAATGGCGCGATCTCGGCTCACCGCAACCTCCGCCTCCTGGGTTCAGGCAATTCTCCTGCCTCAGCCTCCTGAGTAGCTGGGATTATAGGCATGTGCCACTATGTTCGGCTAATTTTTCGATTTTTAGTAGAGATGGGGTTTCACCATGTTGACCAGGATGGTCTCGATCTCTTGACCTCGTGATCCACCCGCCTCGGCCTCCCAAAGTGCTGGGATTACAGGCTTGAGCCACCGCGCCCGGCCCTAGCTTAATATTTTCAAGGTTCATTCTTATAGCATTTATCAGAGCTTCGTGGCTAAATAATATTCCATTGTGTGTGTATACATCCCCCCCAATTTTGTTTATTTATTCACCTATTGATGGACATAGTTTGTTTCTACCTTTTTACCATTACGAACAGCACTTCAAAGAACACTGGCATCTAAAGTATGTGTTTGAGTCCCTGTTAGCAGTCCTTTATAGCAGCGGTCCCCAACCCCCAGGCTGCATACCAGTACCAGTCCATGGCCTATTAGGAACCAGGCTGCACAGCAGGTGAGCGGAGGATGAGGGAGCATGACCACCTGCGCTCCTCCTCCTGTGAGATCAGCAGCGACATTAGATTCTCACAGGAGCACGAACCCTACTGTGAAGTGTGCATGCGAGGGATCTAGGGTGTGCACTCCTTATGAGAATCTAATGTACCCGCCACACCCTGAATGTGGAAAAATTGTCTTCCACAATACTGGCCCCAGGTGCCAAAGCGGTCGGGGACCCCTGCTTTACAGTATAGAACTAGGAACGGAACTGCTGAGTCCTATGGGGTAATTCTGTGTTTAGATTTCTGCGGAGCCTCCCTGACTTACTTTTCTCCTTCTTCCTCTCTTCTTTGGTCTGGAACCAGCTCCTCTCAGGCTCTTGAACCACTGCCTCCTTCCCCTTCTCCAGGAGCCGCTTTGCTGTATTGATCTGTAGTGATAACAAAAGGGTGCCTGCTGTGAAACCTGTGTCTACTAACACGGGAAGCCACTGCCTGCAAATTGAGCAGCCTTGTGAACAAGAGCCTGCCTCACAGCCTCACCTGAGCTTCTGATTGCTGCATCTCTTTTTCCTCCGCCTCTAGCTGCAGAACTGCATACACATCTTTCTCCATTTTCTCAATCTTGTCCCGGAATTTGAGGACAACATCTCAAAGGAAGAAAATTAAAAGGATTTAAAAATAAGGGTAAGCTGGGCATAGTGAGTCACACCTGTAATCCCAGCACTCTGGGAGATAGAGGTGGGAGGATTGCTTGAGCCCAGGAATTTGAGGCTAGCCTAAGCAACATGGCCAGACTCTATCTACAAGAAAATAAGGCCGGCGCGGTGACTCACACCTGTAATCCCAACACATTGGGAGGCCGAGGCAGGTGGATCACCTGAGGTCAGGAGTTTGAGACCAGCCTAGCCAACATGGTGAAACCCCGTCTCTACTAAAAATACAAAAATCAGCCAGGTGTGGTGGCACATGCCTATAATCCCAGCTACTCGGGAGGCCGAAGCAGGAGAACTGCTCGAACCCAGGAGGTGAAGGCTGCAGTGAGCCGATATGGCACCACTGCACTCCAGCCCAGACACCACCTCAAAATACACCTAAATGCTACCAGTAGTGAGCTCTCTGACAGAATTACATTTTTGCTTTTTTAATTTACGTCTCCAACAATAAATATGTACTTTTTATTTCATTTTTTAGAGACAGGGTCTTACAGTTTTGACCAAGCTGGAGTGCAGTGGTGCAATCATAGCTCACTGCAGCTTCAACCTCCAGGGTGTATGTGATCCTCCTGCCTCAGCCTCCTGAACAGCTGGGATTACAGGCGCACACCACCATGCCAAGCTAATATTTTCTTTTTAGAGACGGGGTCTTGCCATATTGCTTAGGTTGGTCTCGAACTCCTCACCTCAAGCAATCCTCCTGCCTTGGCCTCCCAAAGTGCTGGGTTATAGGTAAGAGCTACCATGCCCAGGCTAAATATGTAACATTTCATAACTTTAAAAATTTTTAAGGCTGGGCATGGTGGCTTATTACTGTAATCCCAGCACTTTGGGAGGCAGAGGCGGATGGATTACTCAAGCCTAGGAATTCAAGAGCAAAACAAAACAAAACAAAACAAAAGAAAACAAAATACTTTAAAGAGGTCGTGCTTTATAGGACCCCTACAGATCAGAAGAACAAAATCAATGAAAGGACCCAAAAGGAATGAGTACTGATCTCTGACTTCCTCCCACCAATAGTAAGGGGAGGAGGAGGTTATTGAGAATTCTGCCCCAAGCGACCTTCTCTTCCCAATTTTCCACCTAAGTGGGGCACTGTGTTTACAGTTGTGTCATTATTCCCTTCTACACACAGGAGGCAAGCTCAGAGAGCTGAGGCCAAACCTGCACAGGGTCACTCCGCAAGGGAGCAGCAGGGCTGGAATTCAAATCCGGCTCTGAACTGTAAAGCATCCGCTCTCTGCCGTCACACTCTCTGCCCTTGCCCCGCCCACCAGAGCCATTCTGCACTGCCACAGCGGTGCCTGCTCACCTTGGGGAAGTATCCTAGCCTTCACAGGGGCCTTGGCAGCTTTTACAATCTCCTTCAGCATCTTCCGCTCATCTTCTCCCACCAGGGAGACTGAACGCCCAGCCCTGCCGGCACGCGCTGTTCGCCCCACCCGGTGGACATAATGTTTGATGGTATTAGGCATTGTGAAGTTGATTACCTAGAAGGTCAAAAATGAACATCAGTCAGGTCTGGCAGGGGAAGAGGGGTGCGAAGAGGCAAAAAGACTTCCACCAAAAGTCCAAGGAAGATAGGGTCTGCTCACCGTTTTGACCCCTTCAATGTCAAGTCCACGGGCTGCCACATCAGTGGCCACAAGGATGTCAATCTGTTCATCCTTAAAGCGCCTAGAAACAGTCACAAACAGCTGTTCATCCAGACACCTCCCCCAATAATGCTCCACAAGACCCTGAGCCAGCAGAGGACAGAACAGGGCATTAAAATAGGGATACATTCTAAATGTGAGCACATGGGATATTTACACCCACTCTTCAACAACCAATTATGCAGAGCAAACATAGTTCTGTGTCTGCTAACAGGATGGGCAAATGTCTCAGTTTAAATCAGTCTATCTTTAACAAACACCTTTCAGCACTCCTCTGATGAACATGGATAGGTGGAGAGTTCTAAAGGGTTCCTCCTTGCCAACCACCCTGATGCCATTCTCTGAGGATTCAACAAGAAATCACATGGAAAGCACATAGCACAGTGCCTGGCAAAGTAGATGCTCAAGTCACGGCTGCTGACTTTGACTCTAAATTTTGTTCAGTCAGACCCAGGAATGTTCACCACTCTCAGAAAGCTTCAGAGAAGAGACCATGTGCCGTCTTTCCAAGCCAGCTTCCTCTGTGGCCCCACACAACAGCTCCCATGCTAGGGACGAGCATCCAAGGGCATGAGGGTCATCCCTGACTACGAAGTCAGAGCTCTAAATGAATCCAAGACATGACCTCACAGTGGTTAGGTTAAAATGTTCAAGGCCAATATCATCCTATGTGTCTCCTTCTAATGCTCTTAATAGAATGCTCAGGGTCCTCTTCTTCCCTCTACCTGCTCTGCCCCACAAGGATGGTGGGAGCCTCAGTCCCCACCCCAAATGTTACCGGAGGGCCTCCAGCCGCTGCGTCTGTGACAAGTTGCCATGGAGCTCGCCCACCTGCAGCCCCATGAGCCCTAGGAGGATGTGCATGCGGTGGGCCTGCTTCTTGGTCTGCGTGAACAGCATCACATGGTCAGTGAAGGTTCTCGTCAACAGAGCTGGCAGGAAGAAAGGATTGAGTTGGCAGCTATTTCTAGGCTCTTTTTTTTTTTTAAGATGGGGTTTCACCATGTTGGTCAGGCTGGTCTTGAACTCCCATCCTCAGGTGATCCACCCACCTTGGCCTCTAAAGTGCTTGGATTACAGGCATGAGCCACCGCCCCCGGCCTGTTTCTAGGCTCTTATTCAACATGTACCCTCTCCTCATCCACAAGGTGTGATCACTGTGCCTGGCACTGGAGAGAAAGGCACTGTCCCTGTCCTATGGAACTCAAATTCCAGGGTGGATACAGAGAAGCCAATTCCTGGGAGGTAAAAAATGTCGTAAGACAGAGTGCAGGGAGGAAGGCGAAGCAGCTAAGGGCTGGCCTCTCTGAAGAGGTGAGATTAGGTTGAATGACAAAGCAGATGATCCATAGGAAGATCCAGCAGAAGATTCTAGACAGAGGAAATGGCAAACATGTAAGGCCCGGAGGCAGGAGCAAGCTTAAAATGAGAAGTACAAGCAGGCGGCCAGGTGTGGTGGCTCACACCTGTAATCTCAGCACTTTGGGAGGCCAAGAAGGATAGATCACTTGAGGCCAGGAGTTCAAGACCAGCCTGGCAAACATGATAAAACCCTGTCTCTACTAAAAATACAAAAATTAGCCAGGAATGGTGGCTAGGGCCTGTAATCCCAGCTACTCAGGAGCCTACGGCACGAGAATTATTTGAACCCAGGAAGCAAAGACTGCAGTGAACCAAGATCATGCCACTGCACTCCAGCCCAGGCAAAAGAGCGAGACTCTGCCTCAAAAAAGAAAAAAAAAAGTACAAGCAGGCGAATGTGGCTGGAGCCATAAGCAAGCCTCCACGGCTGGGGACCCCGGGCACGCACGGGCCAGGCCTGAACAGTCCTAAAAGACTCACTAGGATGTTTCGATTTTAGTCTAAAACCAGTGGAAGCCACTGCAGGGTGTTCAAATAAGGACGTAACAAATACGAATGCCTTCTGCAAGCAATCGTCATAAATGCTCTGCAATGCAGAGTCACAAAGGGCTGAGTGGAAGTGGAGAGCTCGAACTAGAGGCTGCGCAACGATCCAGGCGACAGAGGACAGTGGTCTGGACTGAGGGACACAACCATGCCAAGTGGCTGGGAGTTGGACAGGACACAAGGAGGATTGGTGAGGCGATAAAGCAAAGGAAGGACCCATGGAGAAGTGAGACAGCAGATGACCGAGAGCGCAGTACAGCCTCTGCGCTAGGAAGACTGGACAGCAGAGGCACGGGGCAAAAACCAAGCACTTCAGCGTGGATACCACGAGCCCAAGGAAGCTGACCAGCCCACCCTAGCCAGGCTTGCCCTGAGCTGCCACCTGCCACGATGGCTTCCCGGTCTCCTTCCCGATTAGGCCGGATCCGGATGAACTCCTGCCGTAGGAAGGGAGCCACATCCGTGTTGCTGTTCACGAATATCCGGACGGGGTTCTTCAAAGAGACAGAAGCCAGATCTTTCACCTGCCAAGCACAAAGCTGGGTTTGCTCCACTCTCTGCAAGGTGGTAGGGAAGGAGGCAGCAGTGCTCACCCTAGGCAAACCCCCTCAAGCCCAGCCAGGGTCCTGTGCACGGTCCCCTCCATGCACACTTCCCCCTGCCACAGAGAAGTCCCTCAGCCCACCTCGTCTGTCATGGTGGCCGAGAAGAGCATGGTCTGGCGGTGGTGGGAACACATTCGGATGATCTCCTTCATCTGCTCCTCAAAGTACTCATCCAGCATCCTGGGAGCAGGGAAAGACAAGGCAGAAATGGGTAGAGAGCTCTTCAGTCACAGTGAGGGACACAGGATGGCATACAGGCTACTGTTCTGTTGTCATTGGTTATATTTAGGATTCATCTATTTTATTATTTTATCTTTTCACCAAGAATTATCATTTTGCCACATTTGCTTTGTCTTTTTGTGGGAAGTCAGTTGAGGCATCATTAACCTTACTGAAAATATTTCAGCACACAACTCCTAAGGACTAGGACCTTCTCTTACAAAACTACATCATCAACAGACCCAAGACTTGCGAGTGGGTGAATCTCTAACGTATAGGCCACATTCAAATTCCTTCAACGGGCCGGGCACAGTGGCTCATGCCTGTAATCCCAGCACTTTGCGGGGCCGAGGCAGGCGGATCACAAGGTCAAGATATCAAGACCACCCTGGCCAACATGGTGAAACCCCGTCTCTACTAAAACATACGAAAAATTAGCTGGGCGTGGTGGTGCACGCCTGTAGTCCCAGCTACTTGGGAGGCTGGGGCAGAAGCACTGCTTGAACCCAGGAGGTGGAGGTTACAGTGAGCCGAGCTTGCACCACTGCACTCCAGCCTGGAGCCTGGGGACGGAACGAGACAGAGTTTCACTCTTGTTGCCCAGGCTGGAGTGCAATGGTACGATCTCAGCTCACTGCAACCTCTACCTCCCGGGTTCAAGCCATTCTCCTGCCTCAGCCTCCTGAGTAGCTGGGATTACAGGCATGCACCACTGTGCCTGGCTAATTTTGTATTTTAGTAGAGATGGGGTTTCTCCATGTTGGTCAGGCTGGCCTCAAACTCCCAACCTCAGGTGATCTAACTGCCTCAGCCTCCCTAAGTGCTGGGATTACAGATGTGAGCCACTGCGCCAGGCCATGTGTCATTTTATAGTTGCCTTTTGTTTTAGTTCAAAAACCAAAGTTCCTGCCTTGCAGCGGGCTGCCACATCTCTTTAGTCTTCCCGCATCTAGAAAAGCCCCTCAGTCTGGGCAGCATGGCAAAACCCCATCTCTACAAAAAGAAACAAAAATGAGCTGGGGCTGGGCAAGGTGGCTAATGCCTAGAATCCAAAATTTGGGGAGGCCAACGGAGGAGGATCACTTAAGCCCAGTAGTTCAAGACCAGCCTGGACAACACAGCAAGACCCCATCTCTATTTATTTAATATAAAATAAGCCGGGCATGGCTGGGCACGGTGGCTCATGCCTGTAATCCCAGCACTTTGGGAGGCCGAAGTGGGCAGATCACAAGATCAAGAGATTGAGACCATCCTTGCCAACATGGTGAAACTCTGTCTCTACTAAAAATACAAAAATTAGCTGGGCGTAGTGGCACTTGCCTGTAGTCCCAGCTACTCGGGAGGCTGAGGCAGGAGAATCACTTGAGCCCAGGAGGTGGAGGTTGCAGTGAGTAGAGATCATGCCACTACACT